TGACAAAACATCATAATAATTATTACCTAACACGTTGATAAACTAAGAAATTATTGCATTTCGTTTAAGTACAAAAGCCTATTAAGATCCTTCTGCATAGTAGAGGTTATTTTTTCTATTTTAAGGGGAAGGACCACGCTCGCAGCGAATATCTGTATTTTGTATAGTGAGCGAAGAGAATAGGTGACCCTTTTTATATTCGGGGTATTCCATCTACAACGACAACTAATCTGCTTTTTTATCATCTAATAAAGAGATTACTAAGATTTTATTAATTCCTAGCTTTGACTGTTATTCTGTCCCTACTTTGACTGCTATTCTGTCCCTGTTCTGTCACTATGGCAACTGCCAGGTGAACTGTGCTTGTAAGACACAACTGTCTCAAATATCGTTACAAAGTGAGAGAAAGAGAGCGAAGCTTAGCAGTAGAATAATGTTACGATTTCCGCCATCGCTTTAAGTTTCACAGTACTCGCACGCTATTAATTTCACTGTACGCGAGCAACCCGGGTTCGATCCTCGCCGAGAACAATAAAATTGTTAGTTGCAATTTGAAATGCTGATTTACCACATACTCAGTGGTGAGGGAATACATCGTGAGGCAACCTGCATGTCTGAGAATTTAAAAAAATATTTCGAAGACGTGAAGTTTGCCAACACCCCTTGGGGCAGCGCGGATGACTCTTGCTTGCTCTTAAACCATCTCAGAAGTAAGAAGAGGCGTGCGCCCAGCAGTGGGATATATATAGGTTTTTTCCACCAATGATTAGTGAATTTTATTTGCGAAAAAGACGCATGAATGTGCTATGAAATGTGGCGTTATAGCGGGATGAAAAAAAAAGGAAAATTAATCTCAATCTCACATTTGTTCAAACTCATGTCGTTGGCTAAACGAGTTGCTAGAGTGTACAACGTTGAAGCGACAGTAGCCTAATGGCAGGGCGCGGACCACGAACTAAAAAAGGTCGTGGGTTCGAATCCGCCATTCGACTACTGGCGTGAATCACTCGTAACACAAGCTATTTAAGCTTACCACGAGTGGTTAAGGGGAATATTAGTAATGTTTATAATAGCATTGTTAATATTCTTTTTTAAAGAAAAAAAATAAAAGAAAAAACCTACCCTCGCGAAAATTATATTTCCTTGAGTCGTTTTACGCTAGATCTAAGTGAGCTATGAAAATAAAGCGCTATTTGTAGATTTTACACACAAGGCTTGCTTCGCATTCTCCCATCGCTGTTACCTGGTGGAAAGGAAACTTTATGTGATCTATTTATTTGGTTGTATTGTTTGAGTTTGCCTAACATCCTAAAATATAAACTAATATAAATAAAGAGAGAGAAGTAAATAACTTTCCTTCGCCTTTTTATTGCTTGTCAGTCTAAGAAAGACATTTGCTACGTTTAATAAATTTATTATAAAAATGGCAAATGTGCTATAAAACTTAAAATATGCCTATCATGGACCAGGGCAGGTTTTGAACACTTAGGTTAACATAAAGTTGGTCCGAACGCTTAGGAAAATTTAAATTTTAAAATTAAAATTAAAAAATTTAAGTTCACAGTGAAACATAGTACTTGTTGTATTGGGAGGATGGTTGATTCATAATTCCATACAGGTTTTAATTCATAAAGTCTTGAATCAGGATACCCTAAATAGTTTTTTTAAGATTAAGATAATGTAATAAGCTAGATATATGAGTGTTGCTATTCAGCTGGCTGATGATTAACATACACGCATTGTACACCTTTGAAGTTGTCACCGATTTTTTGATTTATCTGGTAAATACGGCATGATTATGCCAATATCTATAAACAACACCACAAAATTTTAACCTTTCTTTAAGTCATTTGCTACAACACTCGTAGGGTGAGATAGGAAGGTTTCTCTAAAACCCCCACCATTCGAAACCTGTAACCACCCGTATTACGTACTTACAAATATATATTTAATATATTATGATATTAGACTCAAATATAAATTACATATTCATTTTCCTTCCATTCATGGAGTATTCACATTTAGGGAGAAAACGTGGTGAAATCCATTCATGTTGCAAATCACCCTAAGGGGAAGTAAACTACTCCGCGTGGGCTCGCTACTTACAGGTTTTAATTTATGTACGCTGTACAATTTTAGTCAAATAAAATTATATGAATTTATATTAATATGAAAAATATTTCTAATTATGTTCAAACGAATATTTTTTTATATAGATATGATTTTTTATTTAGATAGATAATATTGTTGTGGGTGCAATCCGGTCTGCCCTAACTATGAACTTTCCATTTAATAACGAATTGAAAATTAGAATGTTTTTATTTAGAAAAAACCTTATGTGATTATGTAATTAAATAAATAAAAAATCTAATATAATAATGAAATTTAATCTATTCTGTTTTTAATATATTAAGTATGGTATATGATGCTGCTGCTCATAAAATTCATTTCGTATAAGTTTATGCCTAGCTTTTTGATTTCACCGCAGATACAAACATACTTCGACATCTTATTAAAACAGCAGATGCAGGTACCAAATATTTTATAGTTTTTTTTATTGCTTAGCAAAAGTTTTTTAAAGGTCGTCATTTTCAACGAATACTTATAACGCTAAAAAGAGAAAACATTATTAATATTTACCTTCACCACTTCAAGTAAGCTTAAGAAGGTCGCGTTTGGGTTGATTTACCTCAGTAGTCGAATGGCGGATTCGAACCCACGAATGACATTACATAATAATGGCATAGATTTGTTTTAAATCAAAATAATTTGAAATAAAGAAATGAAAAATATTTGATACCTTTCAATCCTTTTATTCCATTCCTATAAAGGAAGTAGCTGTATGTACCTGTATCTATGTATGTCTGAATATAATGAAATTTTATAATTCAGTTGTCACTAGGCTCTAAACGTCTGAATTTTCTAAAATTTTGAAGACGTATTATAACAATAAAATAATAATATAATAATGGAATAGTTTGATGACTGTATTCTCACAAGGATCACATAGCTCATGCGTATATCCTCATTGATGCGTGTTGTTTTAGTTTTTTTTAAATTATAATAGCCAAATACTTAAACGCTACTCAATTTTAAGATGCCGTTAAGTCTCGTGCTGTCTCTATCACTTTAATTCAAAGTGAGTAAGTATTAACAGAACCACCGCAACCGCTCCAGTCGACCCAAACGTCGCAGGCACATCCCACAATGTCACTACACCCACACTAAATGGGACAAACCGTTAGGACTACGAATGGTTCCAGCACACACCGCGTACACACCGTACACCCGCGTTCCTGGGCGGTTCTCACCGCCCAGACCATCGAGCGACACGAGCTGAGCAGTCAGAGACGGGGTCCGCACTCCACCCCTCGGATAGCGGTTAGATAGCTCAATAGCGCCTAAAAAGGCGACATGATGATTGGTAACAATACCAAATCATAAACCATTTCATCATCATCCTCACGTCATCGCCTTTCCGTTTTTAATTAGCTCTGAGTCAGGTAAAGCTGTAATAGTCGCATAGACTAACAGCGTTAACATCCAGAAACTAGACTCAAAGTGACTATGACACCACGAGACTTAACGACATCTTAAAATTGAGTAGCGTCTGACTGTTTGGTCATAATATTATTGTATTAGACTTGACTGAGATTAATGATTACTACGCTTGACAAACGGTCTGCTGCTTGGAATTGGAATGGATTTCAGTAAACTGCCCAATCATATTAATATGGTTGCAGCACGAATGGGCCGGTTCGAGTGGAACCACACTCTTAAAATAACAGCGTAAAATGTTTCGCATGACGAGTGTAGCGCACCGGAGACCACTTTTACTTGAAACGCGGCATTCCATCTTATACAAATTTGACACCGCAACTGCATTTTGATTCTTTCATCTAAGATGTCTATGAGCCGCTGCATCCACTTCCCATCAGGTGGACGCAGGTGGACGGTGTGCTCGTTTGTCACCATAATTATATAAAAAGTGTTAATAACCGCTGCGAGGGAGTTAACTTTCTACCATCGTTACCACTAGTAGAAATTACAGAAATGTAAACGACTTACCCCAACGCTAAGTTACGTGTTAACGTTGATTTCATTCTTTTTATAGTTTCAAGAGCATTTACGATTATAGAAAGTTCACTTGACTTACGTATTTCGCTGATCCGAAAAGAATGGAAAGAAAAAGGTGGAATTTTGGAGGATCCTCTGCTATGAAAGATTATGCTGATTAGCTACTGTTAAGTATAATAATTATATGGCTTTCACAAAAATAATTATGTAATTATTTTTTCAATGATAGTACCTGCATTTAAATTTAGTTAATTACAAAAACTTTTAGGCTGGAAGTATTGTAATATAAATATATTAATATTTATGCATTGCTTTGAATATTTCGTAATTTTTAAATGAAAAATTACTGTTAATTAAAAAAAAATTAAGTAGTTTATATAAAACGGTGCGTACCGCGTAAACGGAACATAAATTAAATGCTAATGAAATACAAAATTACAACGATTAGCGATTTAAGTATTTGAATTTAAGATTTACGAGAGTAATTACTAATTACTGTACACAACGTAAACAACTTATTTATGTTTCATTATTTAGTCAAAAATACATAGTAGCACTGTTCAAATGGATTCAACCTCCTTCTAAAGACTTACACAATGTATTCGGAGCATTATTTTTTTTAAATTCTATACTGTTTTCATTAAATGTGACAAAGCCATTCGTCCGAATGCTTAATTTAATTTTATAAATGCATAATTTATTATATTCAGAACAAAAGGGTGGAATCTCGCCGTGCGTGATGAATAAAACCATGTCGTAGTTTTACCCAACTGTCGTTATTATGTGTTTATGACTTTATTGTATTTAACTTAATAATTTAAAATGCGAATGTCAAATTAAAAAGTTGCCTTAAGTGTGTATTTTATGTACGCTAAGTAAGACATTGAATAATTTAGGAAAACTTTATACTTGTACTGAAAACTATGTTGTTTGGTCGTTTCAGGCGTGGCATGGACAAGGAGAATGGTGAGGGTGGCGATGCGGCCGGCAAGCCGCCGCCCGACGGCTTGCTGGACGCCGCTGGTTTATTCGGAGGTGAGCTCATTCGACGTTAACAAAAATATATTATTTTAAATTACTTAATACAGTAAACTTTTTTTTAAGTGACTAAGGGTTCGGTTTCTCAAAAGAGAAAAGACGGAACCCTATGAGGACGTCATTGTTGCCCGTCTGTCTCTATGTCATTGTCCCCTTTTCTCAGCAACTGGTAGAAGAATCAAGTTAAAATTAAAGTCTAATCCGCAACGGATTCGTAAGCTGAAGTGGCAATTGACCGGTCATATATATAGTTCGAAGAACCGACAACCGATGGGGAAGAAAGGTTCTCAAGTGGCCGCCTCGTACCGGTAGACGAAGTGTAGGCCGGCTATAATATATGAAAGGTGTCAATGAAGAGAGACGTGTTGTTGGTACAACTTTAATTATACTGCCTATTCTACCTTAATACTAAAGTATATTAACGTGGGAGCACTACACTACAACTCCCACCGACAATAGGATAAAAAAATATGCTATCTATATTTTTTTATCAATTCTTAAAATAGATCCTTAAGATTATTCTAAAAAAAGGTTAATATCGTTATGAAAACTATAATCTAGGACATATATCTAGCACGCAAAAATGCATAGTCACAGTAGTATAATTGACATAATCAGGCATAATTATGTATAAAATAAAATTATGTTTTGATTTTCACGAAAATTTACAATATTATTTACTCGTATCCTTTAGCTATTCATTACACATGTATGTCATTTCTTTCACGTATACACATGATCAATCGCGTATATACATGATCAAGAAAATTACTAATATTATTTAATTCACTTCTTAACATTTCAGCTCATTTAATTCATTATTTAATTGTACCATAACTTTCACGTACACGGCTCGCGTACATACATGATCAAGATAGTGGACAATATTCCTATACAATTCATAATAAATTACCATTTCCCTCTTTAAAATACATTAAAACTTATTCCGCATTTAATCGTGTCGGAACAGCCTTAAAAATTAATCGGCTATTAGGTTTTCCAAACTCTCAGCTGATCAGGCTGATTGTATGTGGATATACTAACCTCCGATAATTTTCTTTATCTTACTCTCGCAACTATTATATATAACATTATCAATCTTTTCATTTATAATTATGTATTCCGTAACTTAACCATACATTTAATCACATCTTTTACTTTATATCATAAAATAATCTCGTATAATATTTAGTTAGTGTCAGTCAGGGATTGAGGTTCACAATATGGGAATAACAAACTTTAAATCAATTAGTTGTGTTAACATTATATATGTAGTGAGTTTCAAAATCGTATTATCCCAAGGAAAATACTTTCATAATCTACTCAAATTAGTACTGTTTTCCAAGAAAATAATAAATTATAATAGTTAAAAGCTTATGATTTAAATATTCAAACAAAATAAAACCGAAAATAAATTATTACATTTCACATTAAGATAAACAGAACAAAGAAGTCAATGTTAAGCAACGTAATCATTATAATTAATATAGCAACACACAGATCAAAATACAAATTGTAATTCTAACACCGCAAACAATTGGAGACAAGTTTGTTTGAAATTCCAAAGTACGTATAAGGCATCGTTTGTAATTACATCGGACTAGGATGACACGGTGTGATTCACGTCTAATTTTAAGATAACTTTTACAATATTTTATAATATGAATGCAAGTAAAATGTACCTTAAAAGGATAGTTTTAAACATTTCCTTAATTTACACAGATGTTTAGAAATAGTTACATTGTTAATATTAATGTTACTTTTACATACATCACAAAATGCATTAGCTTTTTTTAAAAAAATACTTTTGCTGTAAAAAAATGCTTTTTAAAAAAAATCACTATAACAGCTATAAACTTCACACAACGATAGATTAATTTATTTAAACATTATAAAGAACAATTTTTAATATTTTAGGTAGGTTATTATATAAATTAATGATTAGGCATTAAGCCTTTAGAAAAGAAGAAAAAAAAACAATAATAGGAAATCGGTCATAACTCTTTTCAAAATTGTGTACATTTAAATAAAATTTACTACATAAAAAACACACACGAAATGTATCATCAGTGATATGTTAACTACAAAATATGAAAAATTAATTAATGATAAACAATTGTAAATGTAAATACGTAAAAATGTAATTTTCATATTATTTCATTCATGTTTTGCAGGACACAGTAATAAAAATAATATAAAACTATAACTGAATAAAATTGAATATAAAACCAAGTGCTAGATTATTGATTAATTTATAATTATTGCATTGTGCTTATTTTTTCAGTAATATAAATATTTAAAAAAAATTAAATCGTGAATTATCTGATAAATACTTCCAATTTAATAATATTTTAAATACAGGAAATTTTATGCATAACTTTTTTTAAAAGCAAAAACAACATTAAAAAATCTCAAATTATTAAAGTTTTAAATGGAATTAAAAATCACACAGGTGCGAATTTACCTCTCAAATTCTTCTTTATGCTTTTCGGCTCAATTTTCACATCCTTCTGGGTGATGCCCGCTAGAATACAACTACTTCTTTCCCTTTTTAAATTAATATGCCGTATCTTGAAATCCATTTTATTTTCCTGATTCTTTGTTTACTAATTAATAAATTAATAATATTCATAGTTTGATTGTCTTCATAGTACTACATATATTTAAATTTTAATTTTGAGTTAAGTTCTTTAAATTATTATTGTGACCACTTCTCGTATCAGTTTTTGGTTTTCTTGTCACATCCGGTAGTATGTCAATTCAATAATTGAATTTTTTTTCTTTATATTATTTCTTTAAATTATTTTCCCATTTTATTAAAAAAATTGCAGGCCGCGGCGGTGCGCTGCGACAATGCACGCGCACCGCCTGGCGGGGTCGCCATGTAATATAGGAAAGGTGTTAATGAAGGAGACGTGTTGTTGGTACCATAACTTTAATTATACTGCCTCATTATTCTACCTTAATACTAAAGTATATTAACGTGGGAGCACTACACTACACGGCTCTCCACTAGATGGAGTGGACGACCTGGGAAGACACGCAGGAAGTGGATGTACACAGGTGGCTCGGGACTTTGCTTTGTGGCGTTTTTGGGGGAGGCCTATGTTCAGCAGTGGACTTATGAAGGGTTGTGTAATGATGAATTATGATGAGTGTAGTATACGGTCCTATGTTGTTAAGAATTAAGCTTCTAAGTCGACGCATTCGAAAGGTACGGCCATTTATATAACTTATTTTGATACAAATCAATTTGTTAAAACCCATAAGTAGTTCCCATTGACTTATATGCCAAGAAACAAAGTGTCACAGCGCAAATAAAAGAAAAAATAATGAAATAGTTAATTTGCAATTGGAGCCATGATGTAAACCGATGTGCGGGAGAATATTTTTTCCACTGCATAGTTAAGTTTGTCCTCAATCCAACTTGCCTTCACGTTAGAGAAATATTATTTACTTACTTTACATATAATTCCTGGAATGGATGAACAATCCACATACACGATTAAGTTTACAACTTTTAAAAATGTCTTACGCTTACGCGAAACGGATTTAAAAGGGTTTACTATAATTTTATGTTAAGCAACTTGGTAAGAGTTAAAAGCTATGAATTGTTTTGTTATACACATTATCTACTTAGTTACTTACTTTACACGTTAGGGACAATAATAGTGATGAAAAATATTTTGTAAATTCAGTAAAACTAACAGATGACGTCAATAAGCTAAAGCCTTTAGTGTAATAATTGATTAATGTAAATTTAATTTTAGTTAGGGACATTATATGATTATATTACTTGTTTGATTTTTTTATTTTTATTAATTTGTCAATAAATGAAAGACTTGTTATTTTTTGTATAATTAGCTTTTTATAGAATAAGAATGGTAAACGAACACACAGACCAATCACCTAATGGTAAATGGATGCTGTAGATTGAAATAATACTAATTTTTACGGAATTTATCGCGTATATTTAACTTTTTTACCCGACGTTTCGAGAGCTTTACAGCACCCATGGTCACGGGAAGGACTGAGATGTTCAACGTCCAGCTGTCATAGTTAACCGCGGTTACCATAGATTAAAATTTAACTTTTGTTCCGATCTACACAGTATGAGCTTATGGTATCATGGAGTCTTGCAGTTGTATGCTTGGGTTGGGATTTAATTTTATTTATTATAGGATCCCAAGCAGATGGTAGCACCCAGCCATCTTCTCTATTGAAATTAGGATGTTTTTTAATTTCAATAGCCTCGCGAATCATCCTTGGAAGGAATCGATGTTCTTTAGCGAGGATTTGTGGTCTATCAAATCTGATGTAGTGACGGGGGGCGATCCTGTACATGTTCACAGACTGCAGACTTCCCGGAGCGTCGATTCTTCACATCAGCTATATGTTCTTTGACGCGGGTTTTAATTGATCTTTTTAGTTTGTCCTATGTAGGAGAGACCACATTCACAATCAAGCTTGTACACTCCTGCATCTTGCAGAGGGACGTTACACTTGACTGATGGTAAAAACTGACCAATCTTCTTCGGCGGCTTGAAGTATGTTTTGATGGAAGCGCGCTTCAAGATGTAGCCAATCTTGTCAGTGACTCCTCTAACATATGGCAGTACAGCAGGTACACGCTCGACTGTGGCCGGCTTCACTCGTTCTCTGTGACGTAGGCGCGGGACCCGAAGCTTGTTGTCATGCAAAACTTGCTTGACATGTTGGAGCTCGGCAGCCAGGTGTTTACTGTCACAGATCCCTCGTGCTCTCTGAAACAAAGATTTACCCACGGTAGCTAACTGTGAAGGATGGTGGTGAGAATCACCGTTTAAATATCTATCTGTATGGGTCTTTTTTCTATACACAGTATGGCTCAAGGTGTTATCAGGATTCCGAATTACTAACACATCTAGAAAAGCTAAGGAATTGTTTGCCTCTAACTCCATTGTGAACTGAATTTTAGAATTTATAGAGTTAAGATGGTCTAAAAATGCAGTTACTTT